AAAAAAGAAAAAAGAGGAAGCTTTGGAGCCAAAAAAAAAAGCGGTTACAGAGAGGAGCAACAGAAAAGAGAAAGGAAGAGAGTTAAAACGGGAAGCTTATGCAGAATAGAAGGGAAAGTGAACCAAAAACGTGAAAGGAAAAGAAAAGCAGCCGGTTGAGGGTAGGTTTGCAATGGTTTCTCTAACCCTCTTTTATTTTTGTATGAAAGCTAGCTACCCAATATGTTGGTTTAGTTTTTTTGTTTAAGGTCCTGTAGTTATAAGTGTTGCTTTTTTTTTTAAACTTGCACATTTTCCTGGTCTGTTATGAGTTTTGCGTTCTCTTTTATCTTGTCCCCGCATGGGATCCCATCCCAAACTTGTTGTTTCATGGCTACTGTAATGAAGGATTGTGGAAGCTCAAAGCTTCACTTTTCTTGTTCAAAATATATTGGTTTCTTGTTCAAAATACATTGGTTTCTTTTCCTTTCATGGTTTTTGTTTTAAGTGGGGATTCCTGGCATGTGGGTCATGTGCACCATTTTGACATAAAAGGAGATGAATATGCATGAAGAGCATGACGTGGGCCTTTATTACATTTACCTTGCTTTCAATTGCATTTCACATGTGATGGTAATGAAAGGATGGTTGGCTTTTGATAAAAAAGAACATCCATGGAAAACCATGAAGTGGGACCATGATGGTGGCATAGATGGATCTTATTTATTTCTTGAGTATAATAATAAAAATAAAATAGTAATGTAGAAATTTTCTTCACTTAGAATCTTGAGATAAATATAATTTTATAAAATTTATAAAGCTTAAAGTTTGTTTCCAACAAAGTTTATTTTCATGAGTGTTAATCTTAATCATACTTATATTTTATTTTAGGTTGTTTAAATTTAATCGTAAGTTTAATTTTATGTATTGTTGATTTCTTTATTGTTTGGATTCTCATGCTTGTTTATGTTTCATGCTTAAGTCTACGTTTGGTATATTTTATTTTTATTTTTCATGCACTTTAAATTTATGCATAGTAATAATAATAGCAACAATAATAATAAATTCTACGCAAAACAAAAAGAAATATATATATATATATATATATAAGTATGTAAGAATATAACAATTCATCTTTTAGAAAAAAACTATAAAAATGAGCTTGTTTTAAATTTCTAAGGATTTGTGTGAAAACCTTTCACAAAGTAATTTGTTCCTAAATGTTGCCTAAATATTGAGGTATTTAAGAAATTTTATTTCATTAAAATTTTCATACATTTTCGGGGCTCAAAATATAAATTGGTTTTATTAAAACAACAATTATAAAAATAATAAATAACAATAATAATAGAACAGAATTTTAAATATAAAAAGTTGCACTCAAACTCTATCTAGATGTTAGATAGCCCAAGTGGTCTCTTTATGTTTGAAAATCTAATTCTTAAATTCGCATTTGATCATAATTTATATATGTTTCATTTTTTAAATTAATGCCTTCATTTATATGCATATATCTATATATATGTTAGCTCTAGTTATGAATGTTAAATATTAATTTTATTATTTTTTGTTTTGTTACATAAAAAGTTTTCTTAAATTTTTTTAAAAAGTTTGAACAAATAAAATTAAAATAATATTCTATGAAATATAATTGTTGGTACTCTACCTACATGTTAGAGAGTCACCAATAATTATCATTTACCAAGAGTGTTATTTTATTATTTTTAGAAGGAATGTTATGATAAATTTTAAATGGAGAGATTATTTTTGAATTCTGTCTTTATGTCTGAGATTTTGAAAGTATTTCTTTAATTTGAAAATTTTCATAATATTTTTAAATAAAGATTTTTTAGAGCTAGTTTTATTTCTTACAAACAAAGGGGAATTATAATTAAATTTCATATAAAAAATCATTTTTGTCTAAAATTACAAATAACACATAATTAATCGATACCAATTTTATGGGCCCTGTGGAGGTACTAATTCTTCTTTATGTGTAACTAACTTTCGAACTTAATTCTATTTTTGTAAACCAAAATTATCTTTTTAATAAAGTTTTAAACATATTTTATTAAAAGATAAAATTTTTAGGGGCCAATCATACCCTAAAAAAGATTGGTGGTGACTTTTTACATTTTTTCATAATTTTTAAATTTTTATGTTTAGTGATTGAGTCTTCAGACCTATACGTTATGATAGCTATCACATTAGCATCCGAAGTTATCATTTCCAAGATTCAAAGAGCTCCAATTTCATGCAAGGATTACTGAAAAATAAATAATACATAGAACTAAAATCTAGAAACAAAAACTAGCAGCATCGAATGTAAACCGAATTTGACATATAACAAGAAAATACAAAAAAGTTTCAATGTGTTGGGGAACACCATAGCTCTGATACCATTTGTTGGGAACACTACAGCTCTGATACCATTTGTTGGGCTAAAAGCCTCCAATCCAATCACACCAGCGGAAGCGAAATCAAACAATAAATTAAACACACAAGAGACAACAATTTAATGTGGTTCGGTCCAACTGACCTACATCCATGGATGAGAAACAAGATCCACTAGTTGTAGAGAATTATAAACATACATCATATCATCAACCCCACTTAACAATCAATACTCATAAGACACTTTCAATCTCCTCTAGTCCTATGAAGTATTCTCTATCCAAACAAACACAAACTCAAACTCTTGTGCACATTTTCAACACAACCAAACACATACCCATATGTTCCCATACATCATACCTATGTGGACCCTCTCAATCTCCTCTAGTCCACCCACAAACAAACATACACACCCATAAGACGTAGAGCCCCAATACTCCTATGAGGTGTCTATCCCACAAAACCCTACAACTCTCTTACATTTTTTTCTCATACCTAACCCTGTAGAGACTTCACCTATTTATAACCATACAAACTTGCCCATTAAGAATCCCTCTCTTCTTAGAATTCTTCTCCTGTAAGTCAAACTTACCTATTAAGAATCCCTTTCCCTTTTGGAATTCTTCTCTTGCAAGTCAAACTTACCTATTAAGAATCCTCTTTTTCTTAGAATCCTTCTTTTGCAAGTCTTCTTGAATGTTTGCAAGGAATGGAAATTAAACAATCTAAAGAAGAACTTAAAAGGCAATAAAATTGCTATAAAATAAACTGGAAATAAGAAGAAAATGATGTCTCAATAAAGATCTGTTTGGCCAGCAAGTGTGCTGCCAACAACTTTGGGAGAGAAACCTAAACTAAGAAAGAAAATAAAAACCAAACAAGCCTCCTCCCAAAAGTCCCCCTTTTAAAGCATAAGTAAAGCTCAAAATAAATACATGAAAACAAGCTAAAATGATCCCTTAAAATTCAAAGCAAGGTCAGTAGAAGGCTGCTTGCTGCTTGCTTGCTAGTGACGTTAAAATAGGAAAATGGAAGAAGAAAACCACTACAAGCAATGACAAGTTCAGCCCTCCCTTTTGTCTCGTCAAAATGATATATTTTCCAACCCTATCCTAGGTCCTTTCTTAGCTCATAAATGGTTTCTTGACCATGCAAACCAGCAACTATGTTTGACTTTTATTTTTCATTGCATTCCCACTTGTTGACTTGCACTTTGTTCCTTTTGCTCTTCCTTTCCTTACCCGATTCTTCTTGGTATAAAATGAACATTTAAATGTCATCTAATATGTCTTAATTTTAGCTTCGATTTAGCTCATTTAACAGCTTCAAGTCTTGCAAGAATCAACCCCAAAAACAGCCCACAAGTGACGCCATTGGATGCTTTGTTTAGCTTGAATTTCCATCCAGCTTTTGCACCATGTTTACTTCCAAATTTAACTCATTAGATCAGCCACTTAAACTTGAAATTAACATTTCAAATGCAGCTCCAACTTAGCTCAAAACTATCCTTGAACTCAAGGCAAATATCATTGCAAATAGCCTTAAAAATCAGTCTTCAATTACATCCAATGTTGACGTCATTTGATGCTTTGTTTTCTTCAAATCTTTGGCTAGCATCTTGCATCCCATTTGGCCTCCACATTTAGCTCTTTACTTCAGCCACTTCATATTGAATTTACCCCTTCAAGTGCATTTTCAACTTTATTTTCTCAATCTTTTATTTTACTTATATTTAGGACAATTAACACATTTAAATAAAAAACGGATTAATTCAAGCAAAAATGAAGAGTAGAAGTATTATAATTTAACATAAAACCTTATAATAATTCTATAAAAAATAAAATTATCAGCCCCATCATAATATTTTGTACCAATTGGTACGGTAAAAATCTATAATTTACCCACTTTTTACTTTTTAGTTAATTATAGTTGAATATCTATGCATACGTAGCTATCCCCTTATTTTCATTTCCTGTACACTTATTCAATGTAATGAAATTAAATTAGGGGATAAATTTGAGAAGAAAAAACTAAAGCTTCTCTATAAGCTTTTATTGAAATAAATCAATGTTCAAGCTATCCAAAAGCTTTAAGTTTTTCCCGTCAAGAAGTAATTTAAAATTTTTATTCTCTAACCATGGTAATTTTAAACTTATTTCTTTAAATAAGGCACATTAAGTTACATTAATGCCATATCAGCTCCACCTCATATATTTTGATCAATGGGGTTCCATATCAGCATCTTCTTTCTTAATCTTGCTCCTTCTTGTTGTTCTTTGCAACTGCTTGTATTTTTTTTCTTCCAAAATCTCTATTTTTTTTACTCATTCTCACAATATCAAAATGTCATCAAATAAATAATAAATCAATTATAGTTTCAAACATATCACTAGTTTACATTTACAAAGATTTACACCATAAAAAGTGAGTACAAGAATATTACTTATAATTTAGATGGAGGCTTTAATCTTTTTCAACCAACAAAACAAGTAAACGATGTTATGGTAACTAGAGTCGCAACTCTAAAAGCTTTGTATTTTTTTTTTTATATCAAAGGGCTTTTATAGCTAATTCATTTTTGAATTGCCTATTTGGATCGGTTCTTGATTTTCTTTAGAGACAATAAATGATTTTTCTTTAAAGATAACTAGTTCCACAAAACAGACAAAACACCCATAGAAACCAAACTCTCTTTCTCTGGTGCTAACCTCTCATAAGAAAGGGAACTTTGGTTTAGTTAAATTGGGAAAACTTTAAAATTTTAGTGCTTCTTACGATATGCGACAGATAATTCTTGAAGCAAAATGCAAGAATATTGGTTTCTTTCTCTAGTTGTATCTTATTTACTGTGAGTAGATTTTAAAATGATTTTGTACAAAACTAAAGAGATTTTGAAAAAGATATAAATAGAGTTGCAAAGAAGAAGGAGAAAGGAAAGGAGTGAATGAAGTTGATGAGCTGGAGAGGAGGGAGATACTCACTTGGATGTCAAATAAGTTAAAATACCTTTATTTTGGAATAAAGTTTAAAAGGATTCTAGTTATGAAATTAAGATTATAAAGTACCTTTGCCCAGGAAAAACCTCAAGCTTCTCTTTCCCGATTCCCCTTCTCCGCCATCTCCCTTTTTTCTATCTCTCACCCTCTTTCTCTTTGGGCTGCCGATCACTAGCGCTCACTCCTTGCTCTTCCACCACCGGCAACTCACCTCTGTATGTATGATAATGTTTTCCCCGAACTTTTTTTTTATCATAATCGTTGATTAGTTCTTGATTTCGTGATTTTGGGATTTTAATTGATTTACCCAATGCTTTTCAGCTCAAGAAAGCTTTTCTCCATTAATCACACTTGAAGTTTATTTTATTCGGGTAATAATAAATTCTCTCTTTTTTTATTTGTTATTTTATTTTATTTTTTCTGCTTATTGGGTTTTGTTTTAATTCACATTTTAATCGGTCGTTGTTGTTGTTTTTTTTTTTTTTTTTTTTTGCATGCCTTTCTTTAACTTTTTTTCTGATTTTTCTTTTTCTTATCTTATAATGGGAGATATACCCATCTTATAGTTCGGCTTTAATTTTATGAATTCACTGTCTACATTTTTTTTTTAATTCTTCAAGAAAAAACAGCAGCCGTTGAGTTCTTTGTGAAAAAAAAAAAAAAAAAAAAGCCATGGCGTTGAACGGTGGGCTGAGATCGGCTTCTATGCTTCTGACTTCGTCATCCCAATCGCTTCTCTCCAAGTCAGCCGATGGAGGGTTTCATTCCACTGGAGTGAAGAGGATGAGGAAAGGCCATGCGCATGGCCATGATGAACCATATTACCTTCATGCTAAGCATTTGCACGACTTGGACAGGATGAAACATCAGAAGCTCAAGATGTCTCTTGGTGTTTTCACAGCCCTCAGCGTTGGTGTCTTTGTTCCCATCAATGCTGTCATTTTCCAGCTGAAAAAGACTGCATCTGGCTGAATTCTGATGCTTATCCTTAATGGCTGGAATAAGAGAAACAACCCGGGAGTCAGGATGCCTTTGAAATCAACTTTTGAAATGGTTTGATTTGATGATTTTGCACAGTTTTGGTGTTTTAGCATTTCTGAATGTTTTGTTCACTGTTGATTATCGGAATTTAGGGTTGGTGATATTCTGCATTTTGATACTAATAAAATTTGGCGGTCCAATTTGGATTTGCAAAAAAAAAAAAGGAAAAAAAAAGAAGATAGGAAATTAAAAATTTAATGCTTCGGTGCAGGATGTTACAGTTTGAGTTCAAAATATTTGCTTATATTTTTAATCAAATTGATTGAATTGCTACTATATATTTTTATTTTTTGTTTCAATAATCTAACTGAAATTTATGCCCCATTTTATATAAGTTAATCCAGATAATTTCCGACTTCAAAAAAACGACAAACTGGTTTCACTTTGATCAAGTCAGTCACTTTATTTTATTTTATTTTTTTTGGTGTGCTTAAAAACATTGTTTTTTAGTTCTATTGAAGCATTGGAGCATCTTTGCTTGCTTTAGGAACAGGCTGCTTTGCTGACTTTGCTACTTGACTCACCATACTAAAATAAGGGTATTTTGTCAATTTCATTTTTGTTGATTTCTGCCACTGCCTTTAAACAGAATAAGGCTTAAAGGTAGATGTACAGAAGTATGGACAGTCCCGCAGAGCCAAAGAGAATGGTAGCATTTGTACTGATTGACGAATTGGGGAATGTATCGATACCAAGGTTTGGGAATAAGACGCCTTTGCAGGCTGCCAATGTTCCAAATTTGGATGTGATAGCATCAGCCAGAGTTAATGGTCTCATGGACCCTGTGGAAGTAGGTTTGGTTTGTGGGAATGACACGGCTCATCTTTCGCTGTTGGGCTATGCCACGAGTGTATTACCGAGGGCAAGGTGCATTCCATGGCGGCTGGGTTGGCAATGTCACCTGGAGATATTGCATTCAAGATGTGTCACCCTGCTTTAGCTCTCATTTTTTCTTTCTTTTTCCCCTCATTATTCACCTACACTTCTTAATACATTATTTGCTGGTACTATTTCTATAATTGGACCATTTATTAAGCAGCATCGTGTTGATAAATATCTTGATACTATCCAAATACAGATAATTTGATTTATGATTCAAGAATTTCAACATGTTAGCTTAAAGTTTAATGTGGTCATTAGTTTTGATATGAATGAAGAAATTTTTTGGTCATAAGCTGTATTTTTATTTTCAGATTAATATAAAACATTGATTAATAATTGTTGCCTGAGATGATTCTATATGATTAAACTTACAGTTCCTTTCTTCTTACCAGGTATGATCTAGCTTCTGACTTGATCCATGATGGAGGCGATCGTCTTAAAGATTTTACTTATTCTTTTTTCCAACAAGTTAATATGTAATAGTTCCGTATATTTTCTTCAGAACACCATGATGATTTTGTTTTTGAACATGATTAGCCATTCCAATAATCTCTTTTCAGTCAAATTTTACTACCTTGGATAAGAAAACTGGCATAGTTAGATGTAGGAAAGCCGACAGGCATTTTGAAGAAAATGGGCCTATACTTTGTGCTGCCCTGCATAGAATGAAGCTCCCATCTTTTCTTGATGATGAAGTAAAGAGTCAAGTACAGATGTTTTTAATTGCTGTAATTGTCAATTTATGAAGTTATATTCTTCCACTTTGGTTCTACAGGATATAAAAACTTTTAGCTTACTCAACTAGGTTTTATTTTCACATAGCCATTTTGGTTATGGACTTTACTTTGATCGACAATTTCGAACCTTGAAATGTCTTAGCACCAATGCTTATAGTTTTTAGGCTAGATGGTCATGAGAAGGTTTTGTTCTTTGTGAACTCTGTTAAGAATTGATTGGAAGCTTTAAGCTCTATTATAAAATATGTAATACTAAGTCCTGTAGTCAATCTCTTACATGTATGCAACAGAACACCGATGTGTTGTTGTTAAAGGACCAAGACTGAGTGGAAATATATCAGGAACTGACCCGTTGAAGGACAACTGCTTACTTCTGGAAGCCAAGCCTTCAGATGATACTGATGAAGCGAGACACACAGCTTTAGTTAATGAGTTATCCAGGGAGATATCAAAGATTTTGGTTTCTCACCCTTTGAATGAAAAAAGGTTAGCAAAAGGGAAGAACACTGCTAACATAGTCCTTTTAAGAGGCTGTGGTATCAGAATTGAGGTGTGTTCTCCTAAAACTTCCCAAATGTATATTCATTTTACTTCTTTGAATGTGGAGAAAAAAGTTTTTGCACCTTTCATTTTGCTACTTTGGTGCTATGTTACTCAGACTTGGGGACTTGGGGATGAATGTTGTTCTATATATATTTTTATTTTTATAATCATTGATTCTAAAGCTCTTAATTGCAAAACAATAAACCTTAATCCTTCTACAGTCTATATTAATTTTATTTTTTCTGTATATTAACAATTATATATTGTTATTACAGTAACATGTTACTCCAGCACCAAAAAAAAAAAAAAAAAGTAATACAGCCCCGCGGCATAGCGCTAACCCTCTAGTACTATGTTATGTCTATCCCAACCCCTCCAATGGAAAATTTCTTGACTTTGTCGCTTGCCTTCTTGTATTTAATGGCGTTACTATTTCATTTAAAAATGGTTCACACGTAGGAGTCATAAGCTGACATAAGAAATGTCAACCAATGACCCTTTTAGGAACATTTCTATAATTTTATGATAATAAAATTAAGCTTCATTTGTTGATGCTTTTTACTATTTATTTTTTATATTTTAAAATAAAAGATGAAAAGTAATAATAATAATAATAATAATAACAAAAAAAAGTAAAAACCAAAAACACCTATAGCAACACGTGAATTAAAAAATTAGTGTTATAAAAAGTTGATAAACATTAAAATATTCAATAGTTATATGGATGGATGTATGTAGAACTTTTTTTAAAAAAATATATCTTTGGCTTAAAAAAATTGTATTTCCTATTGAGTGGCATTATTTTGCATTGGTTGTCTTTGATTTAATGTGGCTTTATATTTATTATCAATTAATTATTTTAACTTGAATCGATGCTGAACACATTATATTTTTATGATAAAATACTTTGATTAATTTATTTTTCATTTCAATATAAATTTTATTTAAGATACATTTCATTGATCAAACCATACAATATATTTCACATAAATATCAAACAACTAATTTTCTAACTTACATATGTTTGTATATGTATATATGTGTGACAAGACTAATAAGCTAAGAATAGCTTTTTTATTATATTTGACAAAAGATCTAAACCTAACACTTCCAACATGAAAATACATGTGCACCTATCTATGAGCTAAATGCTCACTTATTATTATTATTTTTTGTTGAAATAACTCATTGAGGATAGTTAAACATGTATGGTTTGCAAAATCAAAGTTTGCAGTCGTTCATGTTCTTCCCTAAACTTTGTTGCTTAAATGAAAGAAAAAACGTACGACACACACGTAGTATAGTTGGAAGCAATATGCATAGGACATATCCTAATTAGAGGAACTCGTTTTTTCTCTGAGATATTTGCTAATCCCTACAGCCAAAATTTCCATTGGCTTGGTAGTCACCAGAGAAGCAATTTCTTGAAGCTTGTCATCTATTTCATACTCGATTGAGGACCTGATAATAGATGATTTAGCATCTTTTTCAATGATTTGCAGGCGATATCCACAATACTCAAATCCAAAATCTTTGTACCCTCCTTCAATGACTTCTGATTCTTTCACGCGAATTTCATCGTCAATTTTTGTGAAGATTTCCTTCATATAAGTAGGTCCAGGAATTCCTAAAAGAAATTTAAATATCATGATATTAACAATTATAGCATTCAATTGCATAATATATGGTCCTAAAAAAACCTGAAGATTTTCGATTGTAAATCAAACAACAAAAAATATAGAGGCCGAAATTGGCTTGACTTAATTTCAATGAAAGTTAGTTTTCCAATTGTTAAGTGTTTTTTTCTAAATCATTAAAATTAAAAATTCAATACTTTATCAATAGATCACACAATTATTAAAATTGTTAGGTGAAGTGTGCTGCATGCATATAAATATGATTTGGAAAAACATATACATATATATATAAATATATCTTAGATTTACATGCATAATTACCAGGAGCGAATGTGATCTTTAAAATAGTACCAACGCCCCCATCACCTTGGACAACTTCAACTGTGCCGATTTCATCTTGTAGCAGTTCATTGAGGAGTCTTCCGAGCTCGAGACTACGGTAGATATCCCATATCACAGCAGCAGGAACTTCTACCAGGGTGTCATGTGAAAGATGACCACGCATTTTTTGCTCTTTTTTCCTATACTCTATTTGCTTCCTTCTTTTGACAATTGTTTTATTTTCTTTCTTGCCCAAAAGGCTTCTTTTGACAGTTCCCTTACAACCCTATGCTTATCAACTACTATATATAGCAAGTTTTTGTAGAAAATGGCTTTAGGAATTTTCAAAATTTCAAATTATATGAGGCAAGTGCTGATGACTTTTGACCAGACGATAACAGGTTTGGTAAATGTCATTGTGGGTAAAAGACCGTGTACGATGTAGATTGAGAATTTTCTTAAACTATAGCCTTTTACAACGTAATTGCTATATACAAATTCAAACCATAGGTTTTCAAATTCGTGGAAAAAGGCTGTTAACCAAACGTATAAAAAAGGAATAGATAGCAATAATCAAAATTTTAATTGCCAAGTGAAAATTTGCTTAGAAGCTTAGAGAATTTAATTGGCGCATGGAATATGGGCAGCTTAGACTGTCTTTGTGTTTATATTAATCCATAAAACAAATGTGCATTTGCTTTCTAACCTTCCTAATTTTAAGATGGCAATTAAGGGAGCATTCACCAATAATTATTTTCATTATAATATTATAATTATTTAATCATAATAAAAAATTATACAAAGGTATAAATATAGACTCTATATATACAAATTTTTTGTTGTTACAATGCTATAGCCATTGCAAATATTTCTACACAACGTTATTTTTGTCATTGCAAAATTTTTTTTCAACGACTTTATTAAGTTTAACAACCTTTATTACTGCAAAAAAAGCTCAATTTTATTTTTTTTTATTTATGATAGTCTATATTTATTTTGTATTTATTTAGCCAAAAGGTCGAAAAAATTTTTGAACAAAAATTCAATAATCATCTAAGTCCTATAATTTTATAACAATTAATTAAGTTTTAAATTATCTATAATTTCATCAATTGAGTTCTCATTAAAAAAAATTAGTTAATCATTAACACCCATTTCCGTCTAATCGTAAACTCAATTGGGGTGAAAATAGATATTTAAAATTTTAATTAAATAAAAATAGATATTTAAATGTTTAATTCATGCAAAATAAACAAAGCCAGTACTTCATTAATTGTAATAAAATATAAAAGGTCTAAATGATTATTGAATTTTTATTCAAAGATCTTTTTTTTTTTATCATTTTTCTTATTTATTTAAATACGATAAAATTTAAAAGAACTCTTAAAATTATTTACGAAGAAAAGGGAATATATTAATTTAAAAGATAATAATACATGTATTATCAAATACAAACTTCTCAGAGTTCAATATAACAAAAGTCTCATAAATCTTTTAAAAAATTAATATTGAAATATCATTGAGATCATGCTCTTCTGGATGACAATAGTTTAACACTTCAAACCTTAGAAAAAAAAAAAGAAAAAAACAAAAGCTATCATTATAATTAAGAAACACATAAAATAAATGTATAATACCACAAGTTGTGTTAGACAACTCAATGTTCTTTTCCTCTTTTCAAAAATTTCTTGCCAAGAAAATGGATAGAAACATTTACTTATATAAAAGATTGAAAATAAAATTATGATGGTGCTAACTTGGTCGCAAATTGATTAAAAAATTGATGAGGTAAATACGAATTGATCAGCTCTTTCTAAAAAAAAAAATTATATTAATGTAAAAACTTGTAAAACTCAACAAAATGATCCCTTACAACAATGGAAAAGTATTAACAATTGACACAGTAACTTAAAAAACAAAGCAACCAACTAATTAAATAGATTTCTAAGTGAATTTTAGGTTAATAGAACTCTTTTGCTCTTCTTTTTAATAATTTCTAATTTTGACTTTGAAAATAAAAAGAGAAGTAATTTGAACATAGCTAGAGGGAAAAAATACAAAAACAAGTAACTTCCATCGTGTAGAAGGAAGCAAAGAAAATTTTAATCAGGATTGAATATTGCAGCAAAAGTAGACCTGATCAGAGGAGGGAACAATGGGCAGTGTTTTGCTGAAAAATGTTGCAACGTCTCGGTCTCCACCCTGATGCAATATTTGAGATTTTTTTTTTTTTTTCAAAGCTTCTTTTGCCAATTTCGTTTTACACCACAATTATATATTGTATGGCCAATAACCATCTCCAGGCAATAACAGGATTGATACACGTTATTGTCGACAAAAAATTCCGAATAATAAAAGAAAGAAAATCCTATTATATACCATTTTGTCCTTATTGACCTAACAATAATAGTAATATTTCATTACACAGACTTTATTTTTAAATTTATCTAATAATTACATAATATATTAAAAATAAAAATATATATTTGAGATAAAATTGACGAGGCAAATAATATGACTCATTATATAGAGTTTTTGAAGTCAAATTCAAAACTTTGAAAATGTAATTGCTATATTCAAATTCAATCAAACAACAACTTCCAAAATTTGTTGAAAACAACTATTTTTCACCCGGCTAAAAAAGGAGTTAGAAATAATGGAAATTAGAAGTAGTCAAACATTTAAATATTGGCATAGGAAAATGACACAACTGTCACTATAATTTATATTAATAAAGAAAACGTGCATTTGCTTCCTAACCTCCCTAATCAAGTTGTTGTATGTTATAATATATAAATTCGTAGATCTATAATTACTTATAAATTAAAAAGTTATCATTAATCTTTTATTAACATGTGATTGATTACCTAATAAATTTATTTTTTAAAGAGTTTTTAAGCTTCATTAAGGATCTTTAAAAAATAGATTCTCACATTCTAAACAAAATTAGATTCAAAAATTCAGTTATATGTAGAGAAAGTTATAACATTTCTATAATGCCCATTCTAAAAGTGGTTACTATTTTATTTTAAATTATCTTAAAAATTTATAGTTCTAATAGTTTTAAATTTAATATTAAAAATAACTTTTAAAATTCTCCATCAATCTAGTAAAATTCTTAAAACTACTTTTTCACATCAAAAGTATTCAAAACTCTCATTTGTTTTCTTAAATAGACTTTGTCATAAAAAAATTTAATCATTATTTATTTATTTTATTGAAAATATATCTAATTTTTTCATCATTTGGGCCTAAATTAAAAATATTTTCTCATCTAAAAATCTCTTAAATAATCATTTATTTGTGATTACCAAAAATTTCATTTTTGGATTTTATTATACAAATTTCATTTTTAAATTTTCCATCATTTGGGTTTAATTTAGAAAAAAAAAAACTTTTCACCTAAAGATTTCTTAAAAAATTTACCATGTAAAATTTCTATGAATCTCACCATTAGGTGATTGTTAATTTAATCCCAAAAATTTATTAAATTTGCCTATGTAATTTTTAGTTTTTTAAAATTAAAAATAAATATTAATTATTGTTATTGAAACTTTATCCAAATTTTTTTCTATTTTGGTTAATTTCAGAAAAATTTCTCACCTAAAAATTTTATAGAAATTGACTATTTATAATTTTTAAAAATTTCATCATCGGATAATTATTATTATTCTAAAAAATTTATTAAAAATTTATATTTTTAATTCTTATTTTATATACTTTTTAATTTTTCTAGAAATTAAATTATGCAAAAAAAACTTAAAAATAAATAAATTGATAAATAATCAAACAAATAAAACTATAAAATAAATAAAATACCAAAAAACAAATCAGCTGGGCTTGGATGGTATCACAGCTTTATTGCAAGAAGGAGATCTGACTGGAGCAGGTTAGAATACGGCTTGGCTAGACTCAACCACAGCGTAAAAGGGATGGGTCACCTGTCTGAGTTGCACTACAGTTCGAGTCAACCAAAATGAAAACATGTAGATCCTTTGGGAAATTAAAGCTCAAAATGGTATCGTTTGCTGTTAGTATATAAGGCCAAATTTTTTTTCTTTCTCAAATTTTTCCAACCTTTTCTCTTTCCTCTTTTTTTTTTTTATTCTCTTTTTAAAACATATGAACAACTAGATGAATTTCAACCAAATTTTAGAATTTCACACAGGAAACTGGGTAACTTTGTTGGTTTCTGGATTTTTTGTCGAAATAGCCACCAAAAACTATAAAAACCTTTCAGAATCTAAAAAATTTCCAAATTTTTCAGAATTTCAAAAAATGCTAATAATTACTAATTTGAACCTTCTGGATCTTTTCTTAACACTATTCACTTTAACTTAACCCAAATCAATTCAAATCAATAGGTTTCACAAAAAGAAAAGGAAAGAAAAGAAAAGATCCCTCCTTATTCACAGCCTTTGCCAAATTTATTTATTTTTTGTTTTTGTGATTTCTTTTTCGATTCCCCACTCTGTTTCTATGATTTTTTTTATTCGCTTTTTCATTTTCTGTGTATATTGGAACCAATTTACAAATAAGAATCCAAATCCAAATAGTGTTTCAACTAGGATTAAACTCTTCAAGAAGTTTATTTAATAGTTGAATTAAAACTAAATTTTATTGTTTTAAAAAAACTTTTAAAACAAACGAATAATTCGCCTTTAACCAAGTCTCTGCCATTTTTTTAACTAAAAAGATAAATTAACAATAAATAAGATAAAATTTAAACCTCAAATAAAATAGGGTATCTATAGCTGTTTTTTTTTTCGCATTTTCTGTAAACCAAAAATTATGTAAAGATATAGACATTCATTACGTCTGGGTGTAGCTTAACAACAATTACGAAAATCTCGAAACTCCAAACATTCACAACTTAAAGTATTTACAACAATCTGCCATGTAAATTAAGACTCGATGATTCATAATTTTAGTTCAAAGAATCACAATTTTGAAATTCAAATGTTTGTAATTCAAATATTCACAAGATTTTCAAATTCATAATAATTTTCAAATTCGTAAAAATTTCATATTCACAAAAATTTTGAAATTCATAAAAATTTTGAGATTCACAAGTATTTCAAATTCACAAGGATTTCATATTTGTATAAATTTTTAGATTTGCAAGGATTTTAGATTTGTAAGAATTTTCAGATTTGCAAATTTGATTTTTATTTTCACAAGAATTTGATTCTCAAGATTTTAGTTTCACAAAAATATGATTCTTAAGATTTCAATTTCGCAAGAATTTGATTCTCAAAATTTTAGTTTTGCAAGAATTTTGATTATCAAGAACTCATATTCATATTTGAGAGATTTACCTCTAAAGTT